AGTATATTATATTTCATGGGATTTTGATAGCTTAGCTGTATCGAATGAGGGATGCTCTTTGCGTAATGGCAAAGGTAGCATTGTCGATGACTGTAAAGAGGTTATTAAAAAGCTAGATCGATAGTCAAATGTATATCGATCTCGATATCAATTGAATACGCATGTATAATTGTTATAAATCGATTGGTGCATCGTTACGTATTTTAGTAAAAATCACAAGTATGTATAAGTTATCGACAATGTTATCAATTTAATAGTTATCGATATCATATTATGAAATATTTATAGATCTATCGACTTACATTTCTATTAATTAGACGAGCATTTATTCTGTATCGATAGGACTATTGATTGAAATGTATTGTATTGGACTCCTGAACAGTTATCGATGGTGCTACAGAGCTCCATTAGACCATTAACGATTATCAATAGCATTATCGATCTACATTTCAATTACTTTGGCAACGGGTTTAAAATAACTAATAGAGCCATAGAAAATGTTATCGATATTTATCTCTCGCTGTCGCCATCTTTGTTGTTATCGATGTTATAGATATTGACTTTTAATTTAAATATAGAATTAGTCACACTTAAAGGTATATTAAATATACTCTTCCAATCGATATAAATATAATATTAGTATTGACTTTCGCTTTCGCCTTTCTCGATTTGGCAAGACATTTAAACGTCAAATGTCAAACGAACGTTTTTATATATTTAAACAAAATATATGTATAACATTGTCGCATTTCCTTTAAGGTCAGCTGTTATGAATTCATTTCAAATTTGTATTTTAACAAATGAGGTATTTTGGAAATTCTCGATTTTTTTTGAAATTCTCGATTTTTTGAAACTCGTTTGAACAATAGTTACCAAAACTATACGTTGTTATAAGTAGAAGAAGGTTAAAGGCCCCACTACGAAGTTATCGAGAGCAGTACGACGCGAGGAGTTGGAATTAGACGCAACGGCAAAGCAAAGCACGCACGTTGTTTTCCGCCCTCTTTCATCCTCTTACTTGAAGCCCATATCTCTCCTTCTCCCCCGGCTGGTCATTGTGCCTGAATTCCTCGACTCGCGCGATTACGAATCAAGCGGTCTATACTGAATATTATATATAGTCTAATCGAGGATCTTGTTGATTATAACGGTAAGAGTACTAAACAAGGCGAGCGTGAAACACACAATCCAGTATCCGGTATCCATTACTATCCTATATATGTATATATATATATATGTTAATGCAGCCTCAAGCATCGACCTTTTGGATTAAGCTATCACCGGATCAAAATGGCATCCACTCAATTGCAACAGTCCCCACCTGGAACCAAAATGTCTATGGTCCCGGCCAGTGGCCCAGCAACGGGCACCGTCCCCATGCCAACTGTCGCCATGGAGGCCCCGCCGGCAGAGCCGATCTATGGCACAATGATTCCGAATCGTGTATTTGTTGGCGGCATCAGTCGCGACACAACCGAATCGGATCTGATGATTGCATTCAGTGCCTATGGGTCGGTGCGTAGCACCAAGATTATCGTCGACCAGGATGGCTTCAACAAGGGCTACGGCTTTGTCACATTCGAGACCGAGGAGGAGGCCCAGCGCCTCCAGAGCGTTGGCAAGTGTGTCATCTTGCGCAATCGTCGCCTGAACATTGCGCCCGCATTCAAGAAGCAACAGATCCGTCCCAAATTCCAGCCGATCATCGAGACTAACGGCACTGTTTATTTCACCACCCAACCGCCGCCGCCGCATCACCATCAGCAGCATCAACAGCATCAGCAGCAGCATCAGTCGATGAACACAATTCCCATCGATCAGTATGCCGCGGCCAGCTATGGCCCGGCCGGATCGGTTACCGACTATACGGGCGCCCCAGTGCCGACCCTCTATCAGCAGGCACCGGGCGGTGTCCAGTACCAGCCGGTCTATCAATACTATAGTGTGCCGGTCAATATGCCGGCCGTCTGGCCCCAGAACTATTACCAGGAACCGCAACCATCCAATTCACAAACATCGATACAACAGCAGACATCCTGGGAGTTTGATGGGGCCAACAGCAACAGCTGGCGCTCATCCTAATCAAGTGGAGCGCACCTACCATATCAGTAACTATATTTTATACGATTCGATTTGCCTATCTAGCAATTGCTTCATTAATTAGCTGTGGCTACATCTCTCTATCTATATAATAGATTCTACACTTGCTACAAATACTTCCCTTTCCTTCCCTCCAATATTCAATTGAGTGTATAAATATACTCTTGTCTTTCTCCTTGCTTCGAGATTAGCTAATATTTTAGATATAGATTTGTATGAGAGGGATTTTCTTTAATATTTTATACTTTTCTATGTACATAATATCTTCTTTATTTACTGAATCACATACATTCATATAAATTGTAATATATTTATAAGCCCTCATTCGCCTTCTCTATAGAACTCTCTCTGCCCTTCACTACTTTCTGTGTCTGTCAATTTCTTGCTCTTTCTCTCAATTTCTCCCTATCCTTTATATATCTCTCTATCTCTTTCCCAGCATTTTATCTCTCTCTCTCTTTCGCTTAATATTGTTTACTCTTTCTCTTAATATTGTTTACTCTTTCTCTTTCTATCTCCCTCTTGGGCTCCTTCTTTGTGACTCCTCCCTCTATCTTTCTCTTATACCTTTCTCTCCTCTCTCACTCCTTTTTATACCCTGAACCCATTTTCAATGGGAAATCAGGGTATAATGGTTTTGTTGAAATGTATGTAACAGGGAGAAGGAGGCGTGGCAGACCCCWCRAAGTATATATATTCTTGATCAGGGTGACGAGCTGAGTTGATTTGGCCCTGTCCGTCTGTCTGTCCGTCTGTCCGTCTGTCCGTCTGTCCGTCTGTCCGTCTGTCCGTATGTATGAACGCGTCGATTTCAGAAGATATAAGAGCTAGAGACTTCAAATTTTTTTTAAAATGTCCGTAATTACAGCGCGCATATCAAGTTTATCATTAAAATTCGATAACTCATCCCGATCTTTTTTTATCGATAAAAAACCTTATCGAAAACCAGTTATAAAATTATATCTTCTACACCTTTATTGCTAGAGTCTCCAAATTTTTAATGTATGCTTATATGCAATTTATACAATTTCGGTTTTTGTTAAAATTTACCCCCCACCCTTAAATTCACCCCCTCACCCTCACTTTTGTAAAAAGCGTATTTCAAATACTAGAGACTTGTGCTTTGGCAATTACATGCATATCCATGTTATAATCATAATCTGAAAGTTTCATGAAGATCGTACGTCCATAAAAAAAGTTATTAAACAATTAAGTTCTCATAGTAAGCGCACACTGCAGCCCATGCGTGTTTATGTGTGTGTGCGTGTTTCTTGTGTAAGCTGAAAGACGCGAAAAATTATTGAAATATCTATTGCTCCAAGGGTTCAGGGGATCTCGTAGTCGAGCAGTCTCGACTAGAGCTTTCTTACTTGTTCTCTATCTCCTCTCTGTCTCTCTCCTTTATCTCACTCTCCTCGTTTTCCCCTCTCCTACCTCTACTCACCTCTGTCTCTCTTTCCCCCCTCTCTCTCTCTCTCCTCTCTGCCTACTCTCCTCTATCTCCCTCCTCTGTTTTTCCACTCTCTTTCTTTTCTCTCTTTCTCCTCTCTTTTCTCTCTCTTTGTCTTTCTCTCTCTCCCTCCTCTATTTAGTCTGCCAATAACCCATTTGAGGACCGTTAAAGACCTCCTTCTAAAAGCGATTACTGAAGCAATTGTAATATTGGACTTAACTTCATATATAACAACTGGGATACACACTCTGATATACCCCCTAGATACTTACTATGACGAACAAAAGAAAGAAGAACACTAAACCACAAAAATAAACGATATGTAAGTAGCAGAGAAACAAACAACAGATGTAAGACTCCAACTCTGGGAAGGATGGACTTTGACATGATGATGAAAGGTGAAATATATGAAAACAAAATCGAAGTTGAAAGATGAAGACTCAGATGATGGCAATGCAGAGGACATAATACAAATTCAGAATACAGAGTATACACATATCGAACAGATCGAATGCTGAGCGAATTACAACGAAGAAAACATACACTATCAACAACAACAACAACAAAAACAACAACAGCAGCTGCGCAACTGTGGTCGTTAGATATATATATATATATACATATAACTATATATTCATGGATCGATACATACTCTCTGAACATATATGTACATCTACAAGTATGTTTATGTATATATATATAATTTAGAATATTTCGGCTCAATTAGGGGCAAATGCAAATCTATCGAAAACTCTCAAATAAGACTAACAATAATATAAGGTACAATAACGCACATGCACACACATGTTGGATATGTTGAAAGGTCTTCGGTTACTGATTAGGCTGAACACACTCAAACCCCACTCAACAACTACAGCAACTAACCTAACCCATATCTTCGGCATATCCAAAATATAGTGTTAATATATATAGTATTATATGAATAGGTATATTACTATATATATWATATAAATAACTCACATTTACATTTACCCCATTTACCTCAATTGTAGCCCAAATATTCTGGATTAGCTAAAACGAAACTCACACTTTCCCAACTCGAACTCCAACTCAAACTCCAACTCGAACTCAAGTGCTCAAATTCGGCTATACATGTTTTCGACTTCTTAAATACATATATCTATGTATATATGTATTCGTAAATCTCTACAAATTATACATCACATCAAAATTATGCAGCGTGAATAATTTTTTTTTGTAGTTATATAAGTAGGTCTTCTTGTGCATTTCGATTAGATGAATATAAAATTGTAAGGTTATGTGTATGTAACATCGAATGTTAAACAAAATTTTAAGTTTTTAATATTAGTAGAGCTATAATTGTTAATAAAATAATTGATAAAATACAAAATTAAAAAATTATATACAAAATACCGTATTTATTAACCTCATAGTGGATGAGGCGTGCTGGATCATATTATTTATAGGCTTACCTGTGGACCTGGTCCAAACTCATTAATGGACACATATTGATATTCCAAGATATTCCAAGATGGATGGACGATCGGACGGTCGCTAAAACAGTCGGACTACGGAAAAATTTAGACAGACGGATAGACAAATAAACGAACAGCCGGACGGACGGATGACTAAACGAGCAAAAGAACGAATGAGCAAACGGACTGACGGCGGAACTAATGTACGGACAGCAAGGCAAACAGCTATGCTCGAACTGTAGAGCTGTTCTATATTGTTTATAGATGTATGTAAAATGCCTTAAAGTCTTTGAAATAGTCTTATATGGGCACTCGAATGTTTTTGCGCCTGAAGCTGTTGAGTTACACTAAGAGATGCGTGTCAGAAGTCGAAGCCTCAGCCTTGTAGCTCCTAGTTACCAGTTCATAACTATAGTTATATGTCCCCTATATCATTGTATTGATTTTAGATATTATTGAGCTTAAAGTGAAGCTCAGCAAATTTTAGCAATAGCAACATTTTAAAAATATTTTATTCATATATTTATTGAAGTAAAAATAATAAAATAAATGTAAAAACTTAAAAAAAAGTGTTACATAGTTTCTATAGCATTCATACTACCCCTTTAGTAAGGGCATAGAAGCAACTCTTTTGCTGTTGCTGTATCTGTTGGATACATTTAGCTGAGGGTTGCTGTCGCTGCTGCCTCTGCCGCTGTCGCTGCTGCTGCTGTTGCTGTTGCTGTTGCTGCTGCCGCTGCTGATGCTGCTGCCAATAGCAACAACAACAATTGCGTTCATTGTGCTTAATTAATTTAGTTCAAAGATCAAGCGTTCGCGATGCCGTCGCGATTCCTCATGCGTTTCATGCACCCAGCTTCACGTATACATACATGCCTATAAATGTTGCATGCTGCATGTTGTTGTTGTTGTTGTTGTTGTTGCAGTTGCAGCTGCATTTTGATGTGCAACGTCTGTTGTTTATTTGTGCAGCGTTCCAGTTATAAACTCCCAACAATTTCTTCTTGTCCCGATCTCCAGATGTTGACCTACGATCCACAATTTCGTTGCAGCGTGCAGGTGCTCCATTATGTGGCATACCACATGCCACATGCCCTTCCACACTAGCTACTGCAGCTAGTGGCTACCAACTATCGACTGCCAACCCTCTGCCCCTTCTGTCCCCTCTGCCCCTTCTGCCTGCCCTAATCAATTGCTGTCCACACCCAAAAGGCCCGCAGTTGCGATATGCTTAATTAGGCAAACGGGCGTCGAGCATAAAAAGCGTCTTTTGTCGCTGCCACACCCCATACGCCCCCACCCCCCCACACAGACACACATACATAGAGGCCGACAGACACATGTTGTCCATGTTCATTACACACATTTGGCTTTCGAGTTGCGCCTCCCCATGTGGATCTGTTGCTCTTACACTGTGCTACAAAGAGTTGAGTCCGTTAAAGTGATGTTCTTAGATCTGGGGAAATGGATCTAGATCTATATTATATATACATATATGTATAGATGTATTGTATTCGCTTACTCAGTTACTTATATGTCTAAGATACAATCTGTATCTTCTTCTTCTGTTCTAGTTCGTGAAGCTGATTTTGATTGAATGTCTGGAGCTTTTATATTACCTTGGGAAAGTGTTAATAAATTTAAGCATTAGCCAAGTTTGGCATATTGTTAAAAAAAATATTAATAA